TTTCATTTCTTGCATTTTCCAGTATTTTTTTTCAGTTCCCTGGGGAAAACATGGCCATAAGTCAGTATAAGTAGTCAGACAGTATTTGTATGACTGAGCAACGGGAAGTGTCTTGCATCCAAGTCTTGAATTTAATGTTTAACTCCTTATTAAGGAATGAAAGGTCAGAGTAATCATCAGTATGAACCCTGTTTTACATTTACTGATGCTTTAACAGCATTTTGTAGCAGGTGGAACTACTTTTTTATATTTACTGTTAAGTGATTACATTTATAATAGACCACATTCTATAAACAAATTGAAAGTCATATAGGTCAATTCTTAACCTGAAAAAGTAGTGAGCCACTATAGCAGTCAAATAAATAGATCTGATGTCTTTAAAATGGAATAAAGAAGCCTTAAATCAAAGTACAAGATCTCAAAATATTAGTTGCTTTTCTCGTGTGTGTCATACGAAGTTCATGAGTTTACTGATGCGATCTTACTTATTTCAGAGCTAGACATTAGTTTTACAGATTCAAGAACAGTCCATTATTTTCACAGAAGTTACTTATATTCTTATTTATTCTCTCTGTCCCCACAAATGCTTTTATTCTTTCTGACTATACTGTTGTGCAGTAAAACAGCATGTTTACAATCTGTTGGTCCTATGCTCCATAGGTTTCAAACTATCTCCACCTTATGGCTTTCACCCTCTTTGTCATCCCCACAAGAGATCACAGTAACCATGACAATCTCATCTACAGGCACCAAGGCTGCAGCAGGGCCAGATATAAAGAGACAATGAGCATGGCAGGGACAAACAGTGGGATAGAGAGGGGGGAGGCCGGGAGTGTGAGAAAGTAAATAGTAAAAATTGGATGTTTCATACAGGGAATAGAGGCAGACGGACAATTTGTGGGATGGACAGACAGATTTACATAGAGATAGTATTTAATGGGGGGAATGTAACAGTTTCATCCCAGTGGCCCTGCTCGCTCGCTTCCTGTAAATGTGTCCAGGGTTGAGCAGTCCCACGGGTCTCAGTCTGACCGACTCTACACTTACTAGATCGCCGTAGCCGGAAACAGCCCCAGCCTGCTCTACCTCTTCAAACAGCCGCAGAGAAGAATGCGGTGATGGAGGCCCAAGAGAAAAAAAAAAGGACAGAGAAGAAGAAAATCAATTTCCAGAGTAAATGCAAGTCAGCAGAAATGGGCGATGAAATAGCTGTTTAAGCACCCTGCAGGAAATTTCCATATCCGTTGTTAGGTGTTCCCCTAAAATGTCTATAAACCGTCAAGTCATGTTGTTTAGTTAAAAGACATTAGGATATAGAGTTTGGCAGAGAAAAACAGCAGGCAGAGTGTAGAGCACTTTCCCATTCAATGTTTAAAGTCCAGGACATTTTTGCAAGTAAAGCAGGATAGTGACGTCCTGAACATACGTATACGCACCTTAGTTTCACCTTTGTGTTGGCTGCACAAAGAGCTGTGGTGGCACTTCAAGTATTTATGATTCGCACCTGGTGCTGCGTCTGCAACATCACATGTGTGTGTGTGTTTGTGTGTGTGTGTCAGAGAGAGAGAGGGAGAGCTTCTGTGTTTTGTGGATTTTATGTTAATGTTAATAGAAACACTGAGATTCTCTGAAGCAGATCGTTCGTCCATATCCCAGAAACACCATCCTGATCTTTGGCTGAGATTCCTTCATCGACATTCGGTGCCACAGCTCCAGGCTTTGTGTCTCGATTGCATCGTCTTTTGAAAGGAGTCCGCGTGCAGTTTTAGACTATGATGTGACCTGTCTAGACTGTAAGGACACATTCAAACAGTAGATCCTATAAGTGTTAGTGGTTAGATTTTTAAAACTTTTCTCTCTCTTAAATTCAAGCTGCAAGTGGGGAACAGCTTCTGCTTGATCCATATGGATATAGGTATAGGCTTAAGTGAATAACTCAACATATGTAAAGCAGTGACGAATGGTAATAAATGAGCTGGAGAAACTGTCGGTCATTGTACTGTGGAGTCAGTAGACTGCATCCAAGTCCCAACTAGAATGTGTCTACTTGCAACTCATAGAAACATTTAACAACATGTTTGTGTTGTGATGACTGGATAATCTGATATCTTGCAACATTGTGTATACAGCCTCTGCAAATATATAGAAAGGGACTGGTTTACATAATATTTCATACAGATGGAGAGATAGCAAACTGAAATTCTAACATCCATTTTCAGTCCCACTGTGGACACAGAACAACACGTCCTCAAATGCGGATCTTTACAGTTAGATCACAGACTCAGTTTTAAGATCGTCAGTCTGGTTTCAGCAATCCAGTATCACTGGCTCCCCCTTTACACACACAAACACACACATTCAATCTGGTTTTATTCAGAGTCTTCACAAACACGCAATCGACCCTGTCGTGACAATAATGATATTTCAGGTATAGCTGTACATTGTAAAGGATCCTCGTGGCCGGGACGTAGATCTCAGACGTTCCTCTTCGTGCACACACTGCAGTCCACCAGCGAGGGGGTGATGTCATTCTCTCTGCTGCAGCACCAGCAGAGGAGGCAAGCGAAGGGGGAGAGAGAGAAATGTAAGAAGCAGGGGATGGAGAAGTGAAAGAAGGCAACAGGAAAGAAAAACTGAGATAAGGATGAAAATAAAGGGAGAGTTCAGAAAAGAGGATTTTCTGTGATGAGATGAGGAGAATAATATTACTTAATTACATGAGGAGCCTGGTGCTGTGGTGCTGTCTCACCCTGAGGACAGTTGCATGCAAATCGTTGGACAGTGTGTGTTGATATTGCTATTATTAACCGAATAGCTGCTTCACAGGTTATTGTGTTGTTTCCTTTGTTGCAACAGTATGATTAATGTGCTTGCTCATTTTGTGCCTAGCCCCCAGAGCCTGAAGCTTGTCTGCTCTCTATGGCAATAATCAGAGAGGGGCTCATTCATCTAAATCATACCAGAGTCCAACAACACAGCAGAGGGGTTACCAGAGGACATTTCTACGCTGCTCTGTATGTGTTTTTCCACTGGTATGTGCCGTGTGCACTGTACCTGTTTACGTCTGAGTTAGTGAGGGTGTGGTTCCCTTGCATCCTTATCTCACTGCACCACACACACACTTAATGACGCAAGCACACACATGCATGCAGGTTGGACGAGTGGTGAAGTCTCACCATGATGAGAAAGAAAATCAGCTGTAACCACCAACCTCTCCCTGGAGTCTTTTCTGGGGGATTAAAGTCGTCTTGTAAACTACAGTAGGCTGCAGTGGTGTGAGTGCAGAGGGGGTGGGACGCCTGTAGAGGGGCCTCTGTGGGGGTCAGCACGGTGTTACCATGCCACCATGCTGAGAGCATGTATGTTATGTGAAGTTGGGGTGTCTCTGTATCAGCTGTATTTGCTCCTGCTTTGATGATGGGGTTTTTCTTGTCTCACCATGGCAGAGTGTGCAAACATCCCATGCAACAGTCTGCTGCAGTCTGCATAGTTTGTTCCCTTTGCCTTTGTATCTCTAGAATATTTTTAATCGACCACTTGCATATATTCCCAAACTTAAATAGACTAATGCAAATTATATATATATATATATTATGAAATAGACACACTTGTATGTGTGTGTGACCAGAAGCTAAAAACAAACTCAGAGGCTCCACATTTCAGACAAAAGCTCAGGGTTTATAACTTTACACCCAAGATGCTCCATGTTCTACTATATGAAGTTGATCTAAGTGGAAACTTTACCACTGTATAAATGTATCTCTATCATCCAGATATGAAGAACAAAACTCAAACTGTCAGAGATGGTTTTGCTACTTTAGTCAGCTGGAGGAAACTTTTCCTTTTAAAATTCAGTTCCTGCCATTGCCCTTACTTTTCTTCTTTTTTTTTTTTTAAATGACCTCTGTCTTTAACCAGCGCTGTGCCACTGGTGTCATGCTGAGTGTGTGTTGTGTCATTTGTTGCTATGCCTTTACTCCAGGCATGTGGATCTCTTCTCTCTCTTTTTCACTCCCTCTCCGTCAAAGGACGACCAACAACCCCATCACAATAGACAGCACAGCTTAAAGCTCTGTGTTATGAAGCTGAGAAAAGCAGTTTCTTTGGTGTGTGTGTGTGTGTGTGATGACAGCATTTGGTGTTTTTCATTTGGAACAGAAAACCATTCATTAATGTTAAAGCATCTGCTGAATGACTGGGTGGCTGTTGAGTTTCCCTGACCAGCATTCTGAGACAGCTGGTTAGATGGAGCCAGTGGGGATGATGAAGGGCAGGGATGGAGAAGAGGAGATTATGCAGATGAAATTAAAAGGTGCAGGGTTTGCCGCAGTTGCGTTTCTCCCTGTGGTTCTCCCTCGGTAGATCCGGCTCTCCCTCCTCTTCTCTCCCCCCCTTGTGCCGCATGAGTGATCCTGTTTCAGCAGCACCCCTCCTGGCTGCCTGTGAGAGGCATGAAGCCCTCAGACACAAACAGAACACTGGGAAAAAAAAACACTGGATGTGCCATGTGCCGGCCCGTGAGCCAGGACTCACCAAACTCTCTCTCTCTCTCTCTTTTCTCCATTCACCTTGTGTCTCTCTTTCATTCTCTGTCGGTTGTATACCACTTGCCTGAATAAAGAGCATCAAATAAACTCAGGAACAATTTCTTTAAGGTTTTATGGAAACAAGAGGCCAGTTTACATTCTGAGTGCTATTTCTACATTACTGGTGTGCCCACCAAACCCCACAACATACAAAACTCAAGGTACAGATGCAGATTCTCAAACTGCACCTACCAAAAATACCAGGGAGGCATGAAATGAGAGGGAAACTGATGGGTAACTGCTCGCTACTGAACGTTTTCAGTCTCAAAATGCTGTTTTTCTCAAAGAAATAATAATAACCTAACTCTGTCTCCCTCTCCATTTTCCCTCTCTATTCCTCTACTTTATGTGCCTCTCACTTTCTCTTACACCCCTTATCCCCCCTCTCGTTCCCTCTCTCTGTTTCACTTATAGGCAGATGCTGGCAACAGTTTTCTCAGAGCGGCCCGTTCTGGCAACCTGGACAAGGCCCTGGACCACATCAAAAACGGCATTGATATAAATACAGCCAATCAGGTGAGAGAGCTGCACATTGCCCAGAGTGAAATTGGTTGAAAGTTATAACTTGTGACTGGAAAACTCATCAGCCAGTGAACCACTCTTGTCTTTTTATTCGCATATCCATATTTTGCTTATCTGCAAAAATAATCTGCAGTTGTACTCTTGCATAGCGAAAATGGAACCAGAAATATTGAATATTCTTTTGCCCACAATTGAATCCTGCCAGGATCTAGTGTTCTTTCTCACTATCTGCCAATCTGAGTAAATCAAAATTCAGGAGGCGGCTGGGCTGCCCACTTTTTATTGAGAAAAAGAACAGCAATGTGTGAATGGAAAAAGGAGCACATTTATCAACAGTGAAATGATGATCAGATCAGATGTAATCAGAAAAATGACCTGAAGTGCTTCCACATCTATTCCACATGGAAAATGACAAATTATACAAGAAATATTTATCTTAATTAAGGGTTTATTTAATAACTCTTTCAGTTAGTTTTTGCTCATATGTTGTCCATGTAAATCACCATTTGTTGTAACAGTATTTCTATATAAATGTGGCTTGATTGTCCAGTGTGCATGATGTGTCTGAGTTGACCACTGTGCCCATTCATCTGCCTGTGCACTCAGTCATGCACTGTACTACATGTGCATGCTCAGGTAGACTTAATCAGTGGCTGGAGGTGACGGGTGGAGTGTACAGAGTCTCCAGGGGAGGTGTTAAATGGAGCAGGATCTTCTCCTTCGCCCCGTCTCCTCCATCCTGCCTCTTTTACTGTGACACTTGTTCCCAGAGTGTCCAGGAGGTGGCAGCGCTAGTGGGCTAGGACCACCGCCCTCAGGCTACTGAAACATGGCCAAACACTGTGTGTGACAGAGATTCCTGTAGCTCATTAATCTAACTTAGTCATGGTTTCCCTTGCTAATGCTGTCCCCAACATTTTGTTATTATTGCTGGTAATGCTTCTGTCAGGTTTTCTCTGAGGTCCATTCATGAGCCTCATAACAGACCCCACAATGCAATGGTGTCACAATTCATTTGAAGTGACTCTACAGTGGCCATTGTAGGAAAATGTGATGGGAGACACCCCATGGATTAAAAATGGAATTACATGCATAAAGTAGGATTCCAGAATATGCAGGATCAATTCTCATGGTTTCACTGTTTTGATGATATCCATCATATTAAATAGAGTGTTTGAGTTAAAGTGATGGTCTACAACACACACACACACACACAAATTTGCACACATATTGTTTTGCACTTAAAGTTCCTGTAAGTGAAATATTTGGTGGCTTCTTGTTCAGAGAAAAATTAAACTGAAAACTGGTGCAGTCGACTGTTTGTGTTGCTGTCAGCCAAACTCCAGTCTTTTGATTTCACCACCAGATGGCAGCAAAATTAGGATTTTACAAATTCTACAAAGAGGCTTTTGCTTTATCTCCTTAAAAACACAGGTTCAATACCCACAGGCTGCAACTTTTGATTTCCATCATCATTAAGGTGTAGATTAAATAACTGATAAAAAAGTCAAAGCCAAAAATATTTTGTTCAGTTTCATAGGAGACTAGGAAATGATCAAACATCTTTACATCTGAAAATATAGAACCAGCTAAACTAAAAAAAAAAAAAAGAATAAAACTACTGAAACAATAGTTGCAGAATTATTTTCTGTCTAACGATTATTGCTCTACACTTATCGCCATCCAAATTTTTGTCTGGTGATACAGAACAATATGATAACTACATGAAAACTGTTGCAGACTGTCACTTGAGCACAGGTTTGTGTTTGTCCTGATGTCGGTGTACAGAGTGGTGTGAAGATTTGATGGAGGTTTGACTGGCGGTCGTGTTGCTGTTCACATGTCTGACTTGTTACCTCCGCCATGGTTCACTCACCAGCACGCTGCCTCCCCCCCTTTACTGTGTTTTGTCTCTTCCTCTAAATCCTCACAACGTCTCCACTACCCTCTCTCTTCCGATCGGGTCACTGGTTTACTAACTCACCTTTTGTTCTTTTTTTTTTTTCTTATTTGTTTACCTTCCCCTCGTCCATCTCCTCCCTCCCTCCCTCCCCTCCCTCCTTCTCTCCTCTGTCTGCAGTAGAGTGATGGTGTGCTGTGGTCTCCCCCCACTCAGAGGAATAATATCAGTGGTGTGGGAAAGGTCCAACCTCACATGTCCTGTGCGGCTGAAGGAAGGCTGTGTGAGGTCAGACCTATTCCACACGGCTTGTATTCTTCCCAGCCACGAGACCAGCGGCCTGCCATCCCCCTCCCGTCCTCCTCTTCCTCTTCCACCTCCTCCTCCCACCATCATTAATCAAATGAAAATGTTCACATCCTGATTTTCATCCCCGTAGATGTCGTTTTTGCTAATGACCACTTTGATTCTGAGAGTGCTGCATGCCTGGTGCCTGGTGTAAGTATTTGCCTGCCATGTTTTGTGAGTTCTTCAGTCTCTGTGATAACAAGTCCAGTTGTTTCGTTTGGCATGGCCTCAAATCCGTTTGTGTATACATGTGGTTATTTCTTTGAGATTAGAGTATATTTGTATTCCAAGTGTGTTTCGGACCCTTCAGTGTGAGGTCTGCTCTGCTCTCTCACTCAGAATGGGCTCAACGGGCTGCATCTGGCCTCTAAAGAAGGCCATGTCAAAATGGTGCTGGAGCTGCTCCACAATGGAATCGTTCTGGAGACAACCACAAAGGTAAATTCCCCCTGAAAAAAAAATCCTACCTACCTGTTTTGTACCAAGCACATTTTGAAACATGGCATGTAAAACCTCCTCAAATATGGCCCTCTATTCATCCATCCATCCTGCACATCCTTTGAGGGGGGACCCGGAGCCAATCCCAGCTGAGATTGGGCGTGAGGCAGGGTATTCTGTGGACAGGTCGCCATGTGTATCGCAGCGTCAACATACTGAGACAAACAACCATTCACATTCACACCTATAAGAACAATTTCAAGTCCCTAACCTCGGTTCAAACCAGGACCTTTACTACTGTGTGACAGTTCTAACCACTGTAACACGCCCCTCAGACGTTATTTTTATGTGGTGCCTGATTTTAAATTTACTTCTACAAATATCATCATTACTTCTATAGAATTTTTTTTAACCCAAATTAAGTAATTACCTGTTAATCAAGCACCATTCATCTACACATAGTATGTACAGAATACTATATATATAGCATGTCCAGAAACTACATGTCAGAGCTCATTGTCACTGTTGGAAGACGAGAAATGTCTGCACACTGCACTGTTTTATTTGACCTCCCAGGTAGGTAACATTTCTGGCCTGATGAAGGGCCTGGGTCTGAAACGTTTCCTACCGGAGAGGTAAAATAAAAAAGTCTGTGCAAGCATCAACTGGTATGTGGACACCTTGTGTCAAGTTTGCATGTGAATGTTTTTCTATACTTTTTAATTCCTCGTTGTGCTCGTCCTTGTGTTTGAACAGAAAGGGAACACGGCCCTGCACATTGCGGCCCTGGCGGGGCAGGAGCAGGTGGTCACAGAGCTGGTTAACTACGGGGCCAATGTCAACGCTCAGTCCCAGGTGAGATTGAGCGCTGCTCTCATGGCGGTGTTTACAGGACACACTCAGGCCATGTGTCAATACTATGTAAACTTTACTGTGAAGCAATTCCATCAGTTAACATTGGTCTTTGTTCCTATATTTCTGTGTGTTTGTTTCTTTTCTCTGTTCATCCTTGTGCGTGTATCTGTGACCGTCCTCCTATCTGTCTCTTGCTGCTGCTGCTGTGTGTGTTTGTGTGCGTGCGTGTGTCTGTGTCTTTCTGAGACAGAAGGGTTTCACTCCACTCTACATGGCTGCGCAAGAAAACCATCTAGAGGTTGTGAAGTTTCTTCTGGAGAATGGAGCCAATCAGAGCATTCCGACTGAGGTATCAAAGAATTGAGAGAAGTTTTTCTAAGAGCAATCTTCAAAACTCCTCAACCCCATCCTAGCTGATCCGGTCTCGCTGTGTTCTCATTCTGTTTTGTGCTCAGAAGCCTCTCTCCTCACATCTCTCCAATTTTCTCTCCCTGAGTGAACCTGTCTAACCTCCCCTCCTGTGTGCTTCAGGATGGATTTACTCCTCTCGCCGTGGCTCTGCAGCAGGGACATGAAAATGTTGTAGCCCTGCTCATCAACTATGGCACCAAGGGAAAGGTCCGCCTCCCCGCGCTGCACATTGCTGCACGCAATGATGACACACGCACAGCCGCGGTGCTTCTGCAGAACGACCCCAATCCTGATGTGCTCAGCAAGGTGTGTGCGTGAACAGAACGAATCGCCACATGTTTGGTGTCCTTGTTTGGTTTGTCTTTGTGTTTCTGAAGTGCAAAGGTAATGAGAGTGACGTTTACTCACCCTGATGTGTCCTTGCAGACTGGATTCACACCCCTCCACATTGCTGCACACTATGAAAACCTGAATGTAGCTCAACTGCTGCTCAACAGAGGAGCCAATGTCAACTTCACTCCAAAGGTAGAGAATAACTAACAGAATATGAATCTCTTGTCCTTGCTCTCGTGTGTCTAAGTGCATGTGCATCTCTGTGCAGAACGGAATCACGCCTCTTCACATTGCATCCAGAAGGGGGAATGTGATCATGGTCCGACTCCTGCTGGACAGAGGGGCGCAGATCGATGCCAAAACCAAGGTACAGCAGACACATATCCAACTGTTTCCTAACCTCTTTGATTCACTTAATGTCTTTGATGCATCATGAACGTAATCTCTGACATTCGTCTCTCTCCAGGATGAGCTGACTCCTCTGCACTGTGCGGCCAGAAACGGTCATGTCAGGATTATAGAGATCCTGCTGGACCATGGGGCCCCCATCCAGGCAAAGACCAAGGTAAACCATCTGTTGTAGATGCATGAAGAAAATGATTCACTCCTTCACTTGTTTTTTACACTTTAAGTCATGAAGGTAACAATCCTTCGTTAACCTTTCTAAAAAACAACTATGGAGGAAAAACCAGTTAGTCATTTGGCTGTTTTTTCCTTTCACTGTTTTGATTGGTGACTCGTAATTGATCACGATTAAAATTCATCACCTTTTACCGTGCAATCTGTGCAGAAACAAGCGACCCAAGGGGATTATGGGACAAGAAATGGTTGTCTTTAGTTATTGTTTTGATTGAGAGACCCCTAACGACCGTAGTTAGATATTGTACGTTTAAGTTAGTGAAAATTAAGGTTTGTAAACCTCCAGCCAAACATATTCATATATACAGTATCTCTTGCTGTGGTTTGTTTTCACTAAAAGATAAATTATTTCCTGTTTTGCGGAGGATGAGAGAGTCTACACATTTTCCTTTTTATTGCAGAATGGCCTGTCTCCAATCCACATGTCAGCGCAGGGCGACCACATGGACTGCGTCAAGCAGCTCCTGCAGTACAATGCAGAGATTGATGACATCACACTGGACCACCTCACTCCTCTGCATGTGGCAGCACACTGCGGCCACCACCGCATGGCTAAAGTACTGCTGGACAAAGGGGCCAAACCCAACTCTCGGGCACTGGTCAGTGACAAACACTGAGGTTAACGCACAGTTAATGCATAGTTGCTTATTATCTTAGTGGTGATAACGGCTTCTTTTGTTTTTACAGAATGGTTTCACTCCTCTGCATATTGCTTGTAAAAAGAACCACATGCGGGTGATGGATCTCCTGCTCAAACACTCTGCATCATTAGAGGCTGTGACTGAGGTGAGGGATCAGGAGGAAGAAAATGAATGAGGATCATTGATCTAAAAAAGGGTTCAAAGTAAAAGCACCTAAATGTGTGATGGTGCTTTAATAATTCTGCAGGTCCAGCTACAATTCTTCTAATGCTGCTCTCTTTCTGAACAGTCGGGCCTGACCCCTCTGCACGTGGCATCATTCATGGGTCATCTCAACGTTGTGAAGATCCTGCTTCAGAAAGGAGCTTCCCCCAGCGTCTCCAACGTGGTCAGTTCCCATCGGAAATTCCAAGAGCAACATAAATGACAGAATTACATTGTAGTGTTGCTGTTTGTGTCGACTCTGACTGTGTGGTTTGTCTGTTTGTGTGAGCAGAAAGTGGAGACTCCTCTCCATATGGCATCTCGTGCAGGACACCATGAGGTGGCAGAGTTTTTACTGCAGAATGCTGCACCGGTGGACGCCAAGGCCAAGGTAGAGCTTTCACACAGCACCATCTGCGTAACCATGGACGCATGCAAAATATTCCTCACTGGTCATAAATGTGCAAAGGCCTAGTTTTGTTTTGATAAATGGAAAATGGACAATATTTATGTGCTTCTTTTTCAGTCTGGTTGACTGATCAAAGTGCTTTACAGTACAAGTTGCATTCACCCATTCACACATACATTTATGCTTCTATGTGTAGTAATTTTTCTCCTGAAGATTTATGCAGCAGAGCTTTGTTTTACCAGATCCTCAATTTAACTGGTAGTGGAGATGATAGTGAAGATGCTAAGAAATTAAAGCAGGATGATAGGAGACATTTTTTCAGGTGTCTCATACAAAAGGCTATGTTACATTGCATCTCAAGTCATCTCTCCTCCTCCTCCAGGACGACCAAACCCCTCTGCATTGCGCTGCTCGGATGGGCCACAAGGAGCTAGTGAAGCTGCTGCTGGAGCACAAAGCCAATCCCAACTCCACCACCACAGCAGGACACACACCCCTACACATCACTGCCCGGGAAGGTCATGTACAAACCGTCCGCATCCTATTGGACATGGAGGCTCAGCAGACCAAGATGACCAAGGTATGGTTTCCATTCTGCATATTCTACACACCGAAAGCAATATCCCCTAGAGTCGGAGCCTCAGTTATTCGTAATATTGTGTTCCATTTGCTGCCTCTATAGAAAGGCTTCACTCCGCTGCATGTGGCCTCCAAGTACGGCAAGGTGGATGTAGCAGAGCTGCTGCTGGAGAGAGGAGCCAACCCTAACGCTGCAGGGAAGGTAAATAAAACCAAAAGGTCTTGGATATGTGGGAGAAAGGATGTAATGTAAGACATGCTGATGAAGCTTTGATTCTTTTTTCACAGAATGGTCTGACTCCGCTGCACGTTGCTGTACATCACAACAACCTTGATGTGGTCAACCTGCTTGTCAGCAAGGGAGGATCACCGCACAGTGCAGCCAGGGTAAAAGAATAAAAACACAAATGCAAACATAATCCTGAATGTTTAGTGTTCTATTTCTGACAACTCCTCATGTGTGCGCTCCAGAACGGCTACACTGCGCTGCACATTGCATCCAAGCAGAACCAGGTGGAGGTGGCCAACAGCCTGCTGCAGTATGGAGCTTCAGCCAATGCTGAATCACTGCAGGGAGTCACACCTCTCCACCTGGCCTCGCAGGAGGGAAGGCCTGACATGGTCTCCCTGCTCATCTCCAAACAGGCCAATGTCAACCTCGGCAACAAGGCAAGAACAATGAAAGACTGATTGAAACTGGAATATACTTTAATTTGTACTGTCATATGTCTGACATATGTCCTTTAACTCCTGTCGCCTTTAGAGTGGATTGACCCCTCTCCACCTGGTGGCACAGGAAGGACATGTTGGCATCGCTGATATCTTGGTGAAGCAGGGAGCGTCAGTCTATGCTGCCACACGGGTAACACCCCTTTTATGGTCCTATAATCAGAACAAAACAAAGAAAAACTAGAAGAGCTCTCAGAAGTGCATAACTCTACCAAGGCCCAACAGTCCCCTTATATTCAATCAAGCTGCACCAAATTGTAGGCTACACACATAGATATCAGTTCCCTAAATGTGCCTGATTTTTTCATCTAGAGCCATTCATTATTCCCTGGGAAGTTGGTGAAAGGGTCAAAAAAAGCAATGTGAGAAAGTTTAAAAAAAATATTCCTGCATCCGCCCCCTGATATAGGTCCGCACCTAAATTTAATGGGTTCTTTCCTGACCAATATCACATCCTTCCAAAAAATGTCCTGGTAATCTGCCCAGTAGTTTTTGTGTAATCCTGACGATAACATTACCTCCTTTGTGGTGGTAAAATATTACGGTTCCGGTTTTCACTTTAAACTGAGGTCAGGGTCGTCAGTGTAGAAAATACTTGTGCAGCAGCAGATAGCATCTACATTCTGTAGCATAAATAGCCTGATGATGTCATGGCAGAGGGTCATGTTACCTTCAATACAGAGCAGACCCTAGTGACACTCAGATCATTCAGACCTCTGGTGCATTGGTTTTACAGCTGTGTTTCAACATAGAGTTGTATGAGATTAATATAGGTGAGATTAATTAATGTCTTAAACTATATAATGTTATCAGAAGAACAGATCCACAAACTACAGCATTAAAGAATGACACCTATTTGGCAATATAAGATTTTTAAGTGGTAGTATTTGTTGTCGGGCTTTTGTATTGCACTTTACTGTAAATAAGAAACAATTGTATCCTCTCTCTCTGAATGTTTTTTTATTTTTGCTTTCTTTTTAAAAATAATTGTGTGTGTGCATTTGAATGTGATCAGTTGATGTAATATTTAAGACATGTGACCACAAATAGGATCAAATCTACATATGGGTTCGAAATGTAGTTAAGATAATAAAAATCCATTATGACAATAATGCTATATGACATTGATGATTTTGTGCTTCTCTCAGATGGGTTACACCCCTCTCCATGTAGCGTGTCACTATGGCAACATCAAGATGGTGAAGTTCCTCCTGCAGCAACAGGCCAATGTCAACAGCAAAACAAGGGTGAGTGCCACCCTCTGGTTTTGAACAAAACTGCAACAAAATTGACACAAAAACACCAAGTCTACTGTGTCTGTGCCACTCATCAGTGAATACAATTACAGTGTATTTGATAACACAGGACATGACTGTGGCAGGTATTCCCTTATGTTAACACAACCATGATGATAATCAGTGATAACTGGAGAGAGGGTATGTTACCTGTCTAAAATGTGATGTATGAGCAAATATGAGGCTAAGATGCTGTGTTTCCTGAAGATTGAATGCAGATATCGGTGGGTCAGAGAATCTTGATTTGACAACATGATCTGCTGCTTGTTTCAGAAACATTTCAAAAACAGTTGTGGTCGAAAACTGGTGCTTTTTATTGATATTTATATGATGATCAATGTTATTAGAAATACAGTCAATTCTAAAAAGACTGGCTGAATGATAATTGTCAGAAAGTTGTGAAAAAAATGTCATCGTAAGTTCCTGTAGCCCGGTCGACAAGTCGTTATTTACATTTTGCCTATTTTGCATTGTCTCTGGTCACTCTTCCAGCTGGGTTACACTCCTCTGCACCAGGCGGCCCAGCAGGGACACACAGACATTGTGACGCTGTTGCTGAAGCACGGAGCCCAGCCCAACGAGACCACTACAGTGAGCATGAACATAACATCTCTCCCCTCAAGCTCATTAAGAAGTTTGGTCATCAGTGCTCTGAACAGTCTGCCTCTCTCATTTTGTTAGAATGGCACTTCGGCCCTCGCCATTGCTAAGAGGTTGGGCTACATCTCTGTGATTGATGTCTTGAAGCTCGTCACAGAGGAGACGGTTTCCATGGTGAGAAGTTTAGAATTGCTATTACCGTCTCTCGATTCAGTTCTAGCATTATGTGACACACATGATAATCACATGGAAATGCTACTTTTTCAAAATCAAGTTTAAAATGTTTCCTCCTGAAGTCGTGGCAGTAAATGGTTCTTTCTCTTCTGTGCCCTGCAGACGACCACAGAGAAACATCGCATGAGTTTCCCTGAAACTGTGGATGAGATACTAGACGTATCTGAGGATGAAGGTAGAGCAACAAAATTGTCATTATATTACTAGTCTGATTTTATTATGTTTGAACTGGTCAGATACATTTATTTATTTTTTCAACTCTTTTGCCCTTTACCCTTTTTTAGGAATTGCACAGCTAACATTAGGTATGAATGTCTCTTTCTCACTTTGTGCAGCATTCATAGGTTCTTTTAATAAAGTGTTTGGCTCCATTTCAAGCGCACTCTCTCCATCTTTACCTCCCTGCCTCTCTCTCGCGTTCCCTCTGTGGTGGTGCTCACTGTGATGGTGGCTCTGGTTTCTCATTGGCATGCACCCATAGCACCCATGTCTGTAACCTCTAAATGTCCCTTTGATGACACCCTCATCCTCTAACTGTCCAGGTTATATAACAGCAGTCCTTGTTTTTACAGTCAGAGTTTTATTGAGTATCAATCCTATAATCATTGTTACAGATATCAAATCAAATCAAATGAATATTTTACTGCACTGTGGGCATTATTAGTTCCTAGTTGAGTTGTGTTAATGCTTCAATCTTCTGTTTGTCTAAAGTAGTGTCTGCATTTGAATCTGTTTCCATTGTGCATCAGTGTGATCTGGGTTCGCCTGTGTTTGTTTGACATTAGGGGGAATAGTAAATTACTAGAATAGATTACTATAATCATTTATTATACAAACGATGTATGTGATATCTGGAGGAGTTGCTCAGATCGCCCAGTGTCAGCACTGCAGATCGAGGCTTTTAGCCACTTTCAGTCATTTTAGGGGGGTTTTTGAACCAGTAATGTTGGAGTTGTTTTTTAAACAAAACATTTTTAATAATCACCTGCGTTGTACTTTCCCAGCAGTCAGACACAGTTAAGTTAGTTTGTGAACATAAAGTAGCATTTAGCAGCTAAACAGCCAGATTTTTGCCAAAAGCAGCTAAAAAGGAGAGTGATTGTTGTTTGTAGTACATTTGACCAACTGCATAGAAGACAATCTGATTCCTTTTCATATCGACACACACATGCCCAGTGTACGTGAATGCTCACATGATATACATGTACAGGTGTGTTAGTGCTGACAGGGATCACTACTGATGCGGAGCTAAAACACTCATGCAGACAGAGATTGTTATACTCAGAGACCCTGTTTTAAAATGAAAACGTATTAGTATGGATGTTGCCATAATGTCTGCTCATAGTTAACGACGTGTTTCTGTTGCCCCCACATGGCCAAAGAAATAAAAAAGGTTTAACTAAGTAATGCCTGAAGATAACAACGCCACTGGCAATGATGTCGGAGGACTTTGCAGTGTGACTTGATATTTTTAGACCCCCTGATAATTCAGCTGACAGATTGTCACTTTTACTCTAAATATAGAAAGTAGCTGAGTTGCCTTCTAAAAAGAGTCATCTCACATCCGGAGTGGTAAAATGATATATTGCATATTGCAATGGTTCGCGTACCCGACGTGGCACACATGCATGGTACACAAAACAGAACCTGTGGGAAGTGCCTGCACAGTCAAACTTAGTGTAATGACACCTACTGTATCACATTGGCTCTGCAGCTCATACGGACCCACTCACACAAGCTGAGCTGATACAGTCACATTTAAAAACACCCAGGGAAGACTGACTTTCGTTGCTTGTGAATTTCTGAAAATTACAGCCAGTTTCAGGGGGTAAGTAACCAAAACCCACCTCAGCTCACATCAAGATAATACTGTACTGTGGGTTCAAAGTGGAGTAAAGAACAGATTGCCTTGTCTTGTGTGTTGTTGTGTCTGATGCCGTTGTGATTGTGTCTGTGTTTCTATTCATGTGTTTTTTTTTAAAGCAAATCTCCCCACACGTCACTCTCTGAGCCAGACGATACATCTGTAACCTCAAGCTCAATAACTGTTTGTTCTCTAGACAGCAGATTTCTGGAATGAGATTATGTTGCTCTGTGCACAACTATCCAGACTACATTTACCAGGAGTGCTCTCCTGTTTCAATGTAGTAATGTTTAGATGTGTTGATTCAAAAGTGCCAGATTCAGCAGCCTGGACTGTGGAAGTGGTTTAGCCGATCTGTAGAAGTGATTGTATTTCAGTTATTTTATTGTAAGGGCAGTAAAGTCAGTGTACAGATCCTCATCACTAATGTCTCATTTCACCAGTCCACACCACAGAGCCATCATCTAAATCCTGGGTCATCATGTTTTCTAACCCGTCTAACCACCGGTTAACCATCTTGTTCTTTTGTTTCTCTCTTTCTCTTTGTGCTGTTTCACCCACCTGACCACGGTCTGTTCGCTCTCTTTGGCTTGTTGTTCTCTGAAGGAGAGGAGCTCTTGGGGACAGAAGGGGCCAGGTACATGAAGATGGATGACATGAAAGACCATGATGACGATTTCCTCTCCCCCAAGAAATCACTGGAGTACGAGAGAGGGCTGGGCACAGCGTAAGGGGGGCTGGGGGGGGAAGTAGTGGAGAGAGCTGAGCTGGTAGCCACGGGCTAATAAGTGGATGGATGGATGGATGGATAGAGGGGGGCACACCATAGACAATCTCTGAACACCAGGGATGAGCACTTGGGAGGAGGTGAGACGTAGAGAAACTTCTTTTATCTGACTTTTTCTCTTTTCATACAACAGAAATTACTCGCCAGCGATTCCCAGGATCCCACGAGTCTCTCCAGAGACTGTTATCCTGAAAGAACATGAGATGGACCAGGTACTGTACTGCCCAGCATGATGAATATACTGCAACATGACAATATTAAAGGGGTAACAGTTTAAAATGGCTCCTCCATAATTTTGGGTGACTGAAAAGACAGATTTAAAAATATGAATAAATTGTTCACATTAAAGCAGCACAGCCATTAAAGTATCCTCTTTCATTAGACCTTCCTTAACTGATATATGCCAACATTTTGCCATTTACCAACTTGCAACTCATTTGCAAAGCAGAATTTCATGTATAAAAGTGTAGGTGAAATGACTCAAATCAGCCGAGTGCCCCTTATACTAAAGGTCCACTTACTTATCCTTTTGTTTACCAAATCTCCATCTTCTTCAGTCAAAAGGTTTGTCTCAGTCTCTGTGAAATCTTTTAGATAAAGACTGTGAGATGCAGTTGAAAGCCTAGAAACAAGTGAGTGAGTGGACCTTGAGTAAAGATCCTCTTCCTGCATTTTATCTAAGGTCAAGAATACAATTTCACAACATGCATGTATTTAATAGGATTTTTTTGATATGGAGGCTTGATTTTGTGGAGGTGCTTTAATCTAAATACACAGTTTTTGAAAGAGGATACTTGCACCATGATCCAGTCATTTACAGATTCTATTTTTTTGTAACATGAGATCTTGAAATATTTCCTTGTCAGTCATTTGAATATAAAAGATGTTTCATCTTCATTATCCACTGTCAAAATGATCACTTCAAAAATGAATATGGATAATCCTTTATCATATCCCTCTCCATATCCTCTCCTATACACAGATGATAGTGTAAGTAATAAAGGTTGGGTTCCCATAAAACTCGAAGCTGAACTGTGTTCCTTTTGAGAATGAAGCGTTTTTCTTTCTGTTATAGCAACACACTCCACTTCCACTGCCCAAAGAATATGATGACGACTCACTGATTCCCAGCAGCCCAGCCACTGAGACATCGGATAATGTCAGCCCAGTCGCCAGTCCCATACACACAGGGTCAGCACAGCAGTAATGCAGAAAAATAAAACATTTTATCTCAATTAATCTGTATTTGATATCTGATCTGGCAACTGATTATCACATCCCACGTCTGATGGCAGGTTCCTGGTCAGTTTCATGGTGGATGCTCGGGGTGGCTCCATGCGAGGCAGCAGGCATAATGGTCTGCGTGTCATCATACCTCCGCGGACCTGTGCGGCCCCCACCCGCATCACCTGCCGCCTGGTGAAGCCACAGAAGCTGACTAGCCCCCCTCCACTGGTGGAGGGAGAGGGGCTGGCCAGCAGGATCATCTCCCTGGGTCCAGCTGGGATGCAGTTCCTGGGGTGAGGAAGCCTTAGAGCCGCCTATGTCTACTGGTTATAAACCTTTTCTTACGTTAAATACGGCCTATAAATGGGGGGGACAGTAATAGAAACTTTCTTCTTATTGTCCTCTTTGGAAAAGTCATGATTATTACAGACTCTATATGTGTTGTTCAGACCAGTGATCGTGGAGATCCCCCACTTTGCTGCTCTGGGTCGTGGTGACCGAGAGCTCGTGGTGCTGAGGAGCGAGAACGGATCTGTCTGGAAAGAACATCGCAATCGCTACGGTGATGAGGTTTTAGAAACAATCCTCAACGGGATGGATGAGGGTAAGAGTTAAAACGCGTCATGCTTGATTTCAAACTGACTGTGCTCGGTATCAATCCTAAAGAATTACAACCTCCTCTCTTCTCTCCCCAGACTTAGAAAGTCAAGAGGAGCTCGGGAAGAAGCGAATTCGCAGAATCATCTCCACTGACTTCCCCCTTTACTTTGCTGTCGTATCACGCGTCCAGCAAGAGAGCGATCTGATTGGTCCAGAGGGAGGTTCTCTGACAAGTAAATTGGTGCCGCTGGTCCAGGCCACGTTTCCGGAGACAGCAGTCACCAAGCGAGTGCGACTGGGGCTGCAGGTGAGATGGGACGATGTGGAAAAGGATGGAGAAGAGATACAGATCGTTAATGCCTGTGTTGCCTGAAAAGAAAAAGCATGTTGGATGGATTTTTGATTAATTTTGGAATGAACCGATCATATCAGCCGAGTTTTCCTGATATGCCGTTCAATTTCTGTTTGCTTTTTTTGCTTTTAGAGGACCTGTTTTTCCTTTTATTTCACACAGTGCATGCACTTGGCACCTTTACATGACATAGACTGCTCATTTAGTGCTGATATGTTATTGTTTGTGTTATCTTTAGTGATGTCTTTCTTACTAATACATTTATGTCACAGATGAAGCCCTGTATTTAGTATATTTTACACATTAATTTGAGATGCCTTTCCCAAACATTGCCTAATGGGAAATCTTCTGCATTCATGGTACAACCAGTACAACAACTGTGTTTGTGTTTATATTTATACTGACCATGGTTTTGGTATCATGAATGTCTGAAAATGTACTAAAAAGCCTTTTTATAAGAACTGATATGTTTCCCACACCTGAGGACCTGAGCTTCACAACTTTACAATTGTGGTTTTATCACACTTTGTTGAAGCCCTCGCTGTTTGTTCAGCAACAAGTCTCAAGTTCAGATTCCCTCAAATTACACACCAAAGAAAAGAGAATTAACTTTTTAGTTAACTTTATCACACTAATATACAGCAAATAATTGTTAATAAGAGGACATATTTACAAGGAACATATGAAGTGAGCACATTTTAACAATCTCATCTTTCTGCCCAGTGGTTCAAATGAAACCAGTTTTCTTTGCACAAGCATCCACCCGTCAGGACCCAGTCACACATAGACAATGTTTCAATGGTGAACCTTCATCCCCCCTCTTCACTTGCAGTCCATTAGAGAGTGGGGGCAAATACAACCATTGTTTGCTGAGGCAAGGAATATCACACAGTGGCTTCACATAGAGTTCAACTTTAGTGAAGTGTGACCCACGATATTTCCTTTATATTTGCCAATGTGTGACCGGGCCTAGCTGTTGGTCCTAGCTGTCTAATGTCCTGCCCCCACATTCTGTTTCAAAAGGAAAACTTAATAAATAGAATTTCATTTGACTGTCAGCTGTAAAATCAATATCAGAACATTTGGAATCTGATTTCTTTTAACATGGTTAAATTGCAGATTGCACAATCGAAAATCAACTCAGTGATACCTTTCACTTTTGATGTTTTCATTTTGGAATAATTTCAATCTTCTATTCAAAGTTTAAAAGCAAAAGTGCAAGTGAGCCAATAATCCATTTTAATCAGCAGGAATCATAGAAACATTTAATTCCAGAGTCAGAATATTTTTCTCTAAACCAGAATGACAGTTTGATATAGTTCGAATGTACCTTCTACTGTGTGTTTTAATTCAACAGCTGTACTTTAGACAAATATATGAGTTCATTATAAGTGAAATATTTCTAGTAAACTAACACAGAAGCTACCACACATGTTGTTACCTCTAAGCTGAAAATAGTTAATATAACTAAATGTAAATAAATTAGACACAGTTTTGTTCTGCAGTTTTATTTTAACCATTTCATCCTTTTCAGAATCACATTATATTGAACTAAAATCTTATTATAACCATGTGGCCTTATGAAAAACCACAGAGCCTTTTTCTTTGATATCCTTTTTGTATTAATGATTGTAAAAGCTCCTTGTTAAAGCACGTTGTTACTTTTCACAATAAAAGATGATGATTAAGTTCTACAACCAGTGTGTGTTGCAATTGTCTTTCCAAATGTATTTATTTAAACCTTGAGGAATATTATTCACTCTTGGCTTCTCTCTCTCTCTCTCTCTTCATCTTTAATTTTTCCCTATCCGGTTGTCCTCTCTTTGACCTTTTTTTGCCCGTCCATCATGTCTCATTCTACCTGTTATCCCAAAAAATCTCAATTACCTGCTCATATCTTTTATTTTATTTTCTCACTTCTTTCTTCCACATCATCAAACCTGTGCCCATGTTACGTTTCCTTCATTCCCCATCGTTTACTCTCAACCTCAGGCTCAGCCAGTTCCAGATGAACTGGTTGCAAAGCTGCTAGGTAACCAGGCAAACTTCAGCCCTGTGGTTACTGTGGAGCCTCGGCGGCGCAAATTCCACCGACCCATTGGCCTGCGCATACCCCTGCCCCCGTCCTGGAAGGAGAGCCCCAGAGACTCCGGGGAGGGCGACACCACCAGTCTGCGCCTGCTTTGCTCCGTCATAGGTACTGCATGCATGACTGGGAGTTTTGTACAAGCGTGTCTGTTTTGATGGGGATGGTTTCTTTCGAAGGCTACGGAGAGTTGAGAGACAACATTGCTGATTTGTAGAAAAGTTTCTGTTCTATCTCAGAACAATTATTAGACTTCCTCTTTATATTTGTGTTGAAGCTAGATTAACCAGTTTGACCTTTCTCATCCTGCCTGTTTCCCAGGTGGCACAGCGCCGGCACAATGGGAGGATATCACTGGCACGACCAAACTTATCTATGCTAATGACTGTGCCGGTTTCACAACCAATGTATCAGCACGGTAAGTTCAGTTGACCAACGCATACAAAATATCTACCATTAAATATCGAGTTGAAATGTACCTGTGCCGCCTCAAGTTATTCGGTCAATCTGATGATGAAAGACAAAGATATACAGTATGTACAATGATGTGATTACATTATTTCCTCTCAGGTTCTGGCTGGCAGACTGTCCTCGGACAGCTGAGGCCGTCTCCTTTTCCAACCTGCTCTACAGAGAGCTGTCAGCTGTACCCTACATGGCCAAGTTTGTTGTGTTTGCAAAGATGAATGAGCTGCGCGAGGGCCGCCTGCGCTGCTACTGCATGACCGACGACAAGATGGATAAAACCCTGGAGCAGCACGAGAACTTCACAGAGGTGGCTCGGAGCAGAGACATAGAGGTCAGTCCAGAGACGAAGGCAGGGCATCACATGGACATGGTAAAATTGACCTGAGTTTTCAAAACCACCGTCAAACACATGAGACTCAACACTTGAATTATGTTGTACTCAATGACATATGTATTGCTCTGCTTTGCATTTCTACCACAGACAGTAAAATAGGATGATGCGTTTCAACTTCCTGCCACTATCCAGAAATTTTATCCAAAATTTCCCAAATAGGAACACTGGCGTCTTTCACCAATGATGTCATAGGGAGTCTGTGCAGTAGGGATTAGGGGATGGAGCCACATCCCTGCTGATATACACAAGCTCGCCCTTTCGCAAGTCATTTTAAGCTGTCAATTATCTATAAAATCACATAACTATGTAAAACCAAACTTATCAGAAACATGAGCACTTGAAGATACATTAATGTGAATGACCTAAACTGAAAGTAAACATCTTAAGAAAAGTTTTTTTGTTTGGCCCATGTCCAATCCACTAACATGGAGGAGGCAGATTTTATGGTTACACTGCAGCCAGCCACCAGGGGTAATTGAAACGCTTTGGTTTCACCTTTGGCGAGCTGTCGTTTTGTCCATCTTTATATGATCTATGGTTTCTAATGTACTTCTTCTCACTTTGGCTCATGCCTGGGTCACATGTTGCAGGTGATGGAGGGAATGCCACTTCATCTGGAGTGTTCAGGAAATCTGGTGCCAGTGAGGAAGGCTACCCAGCAGCCCCGCTGCTTCAGCTTCCAGGCCTTCAGAGATAACAGACTTCCTGTGTCTGTTAAGGTATTTCTCCATTTGGCTTTCTCTTACAAATTTTTTCTCAATTTTATTTTCTTTGTTGCTAACTGTTACACCACCAGCTCAATTACCACTCTATGTGTCTTCATTGATCTCTGCCATGTCTGTGACTCTAAGGTGAGAGACAGCAGTAAAGAACCCACTGGATTTTTGTCCTTCCTGCGCAAGACCACTAAGTATGAGGACAATCAACATGTGCTGTGTAACCTCAACATTACCATGCCTCCGTGCATCAGGGTAAAGCTCTGCAGTTCAGCTCACATTAACACAACATGTTAGGGTGTATTTATTTAAAGTTATTTACAGTTTTGTCCCTGTGATGTCTGACCTCCGTGATTTTTGCTTGTGACTGACAGGTTGTGGGAAGTGAAGACCGGAGGAGAACTCTGACCCCGCTCGCTTTAAGAGAAAGATACAGCGCCCTGAATGAGCCTGCAATGGGTATGAGACTCACGGCAAAGATATTTTTCCCCATCATACTACTCAAACCACAGCACTATACTACTGTATGTGTAGCAATACACAGATAATCTCAATACATGTTTAACTTTCTGTTGAATTTCAGCATCAATGAGTGCCATGGAGAGGACTGAGCTGAAAATGGCTGTGATTGCAGAACAGTTGGGACTGAGCTGGGCCGGTAATATACAACAGACTAGTGTGTGTGTGTGTGTGCATGGGTGCTTGCTGTAAACTGTCCATGTTTACCTTATGTCTGACAAGCTTGCCTCGCTCGTTGCTGATTAAACAAAGTTATAACATGGCAACTGGCCATTCAAACTAATTACTGTCTGTTTTCCAACCGTGGCTTTTTAACAGACAGAATATTTGTTCTCATCTAGTTGGAGCTTATGTGACGTAGGGTTCTATTTCGAGAACAACACCGTGAATGTGGCAACTGCATGACACACAGGAAAAATTTAACAAATATTGCCCCTGCTTGATTCAGATCTCCTCCTTCACTTTTTTAAAAACAGAGTTGGCACGTGAGCTTCAGCTCAGCGTGGACGACATCAATAAAATCCGTGTGGAGAATCCCAACTCGCTGCTGGAGCAGAGCTCAGCACTGCTCAACCTGTGGGCCACCCGCGAGGGCAAGAGGGCCAAGAGTGAGTTCATGAGTTTTAAATGTTAACAGAGTTCATCACCATGGTTCCGGAAGTAAAAATCCCATTAATTTTTTTTAATAGAGATTTTGATGATCTGCCATAATATTGTAACCATCAAGGTAGATTTACCACAAGCTATGAGACTATGAAACAATCCTTTAGAAGTCTGTGTGATATCAACTGCATTTTAAGGAAAACATGTTTTACTCATAATGTCAAACAGAAGCACTACACCGCCCACAATGCTTAGGTATTACAGCGACGTCTGTGACTGGTGGAGCTTTTACCATGGAAATGTTTATCACAACCCTGAAAAGCTACACTAGAATGGTTCAGCACTAAATAACATTAAACCACAGAACAACTGTGATTTCCCTTTGTAACATGCTGCAGTTTTTTAGCCATGAGGAAAATAAAGTCCAAGAGTTAAATTCACAAGGTTAAAGACGCACACTGGAAGTCCTTGAAAAGGGATCATTTGCAATAGTTTATGAGATGCGTAGTTTCTTCACACTTACATAATTATGTTCACAGTCTTGTACTTTTATCTTTTTTTCGTTTTCCAATATTGTTTTTTGCATGTAATCATATGTTTTATGGTCATGATTCATCTCGCAGCTTGTCTTTTAATAAGGATTTTCTGTAACATCAATGGAGAAAATGAAGTTTGAAGTTTACTTCTGGAACCAGAGCCATTCTAAAAGTGGGGTGTCATGGTTACGCTCTATATTCTTTAAGGTTCTGCCTTTTTAATCCAGTCAAAGTCAGATTGGTTTTGTAATTTTGTTGCTGTTTGTCCCGGGAACCCCTCTCCTCCTTCCCCTTCTTCCTTGCTTTGCTTGTGTGTCTCCGGCATGTGTCGTCACTGCAGTGGAGAGCTTGTACACAGCTCTGAAGAGCATTGACCGCATGGACATCGTCAGCATGTTGGAGGGCCAGCCGCCTCAGCCTGCGAGACAAGGATCCCGTGATCTGAGCCGACGCCGACACAACGAAAGAGAACACCTCTCCCCTGGTATGACCAATGGTAAGCTCCCTCCCCAGTGCAGCCTCTTCCCTGTGTACCGTGTTCCCTCAACCCCGAGCCACTTTCCCAATAAACACATCCTCTTTCCCTAAAATCCCCTGAAGGTAAAGTGAAGTTTGATTTCTCCTGTGTTGTCCCCTTGTCGTTCTTATTTATTCCCCATGATGCTTTTGGGTGTGAAAGCTGCCACAAACGTCAAACTTTTGCAGGACTTTACCTCCAGCAACATGCAGAGGGACTCAGGACACTCCTACTTCAGCCTCTCTAGTTGATTATACATTTTATACTGCATTTAATTACTATGATGGAGGGATAAAGTGAATCGAGGTGAAACTTAAATGGTGATTTCCTGGGTGTCATCTCCTGAGCCATTGAGCATAACAAACATTCATAGAAATCAATAACCTAAAACTTTGACTAGTTATAGTTTAATTAGTGTTTTTATTGTTATTATCATTTTTGTGGTTAAGATGTTCCTTTTGATTAGCAATATTTTAGATGAACTGAACTTTAGTTGGGATATTTTGTCTAGAAAACCACACTTTGTCATACATGATCAGTCCACGTCGATCATAAGTATAGCTTAGCATTATTGGGCTTCTTACCAACTGTCAGTCCTCAGTCTTTTACTCCTTTTCCTCATGGTTTCCTTCACACATGCATAACCTACATCTTTATTGACTCCATTTTCACCTCTGGACTGGTGTGAGTAGCTTATGGTGCAGGCGATGAGTCAGTCCGACAGGTGACAGGTCCTCTCTGTGAAAACTGGAGCAATAGTCTGAGATGTAACCATGCATACAGATATGACCATGAGTGTCAAAGGGTGAAAAAAGGGAGACGTTCAGATCACAGCTGCAGTGAATCTGATAAGCGTGTATCTGTGTTGTCTGTCTATCTGTCCGTCTATCTGCCTCCCAAAGGCCGTTCCCGCTTTGACATTCAACGTAAAAATGCTGTGCCGCTCTGAATATTAGGATATTGTGTCTTCTGCTTATTTCAGAGTGACGGGTTTCAAGAGATTTGTGACTTACAGTTCCAGTTTAGTGTGTTTAACAAGCTAGAGTCTGAACCTGACTTTTTAGGCCATAAATAAAATGAATTAATTAAAGTGATTTGTCAGATGAATGACAAATATTAAATAGATAAATGAAACACACAAAGAAATGAAAAATAAATCATAAATGCTAAAAGAAATTGAAAACATTTCTCCTTAAAATGTGAAATTGTTTTTGATTCCCTTGTGCATTAGATTTGTTTGTACATTTTTAAATTTCTCTTTTCTTTTATCTCAGTTTGTCTAAAGAGTTAATTTATTCATTTTATATTAAAGGAATAGTTTTGGAAATGTCCTCATTATCTCTCTTATTGAAAAAAGTCAGAAATATGAAGCCACAGACAGCAGCTAGTTAGCTTAGCTTAGCATAAAGACTGGAAACAGCGAGCCTCGCTCTCTCCAGGTTTTGGGAGAGGACTCTGACACTGTTCAAGAAAGTATGGAGGACTGAGCCTGACTTAAAGTAATAATCGTTGTTGGTGGTGGTTTAATGGAGGTTTTGTACCGGACTATTTACTATTTCTTGACATGTTAACTTCTTGCCAAGAAACATGGAGGTATGGTACCAGACCAAAAAACATGCTATTTCAAAAACAGGACAGAGCTTGGTTAGCTGTTTTTGGTGCTTATGCTAAGCTAAGCTAACTAGCTGGTGGGGGTGTCTTAATATTTACCATACAGACATGAAAGTCGTGTCCTTGTCTGTGAACTCTTTGGCATGAAAAGAAATAGGTAGACTATCAAAGATTTAAAATTATATGATTATGTATATATATATATATATGGTTTTTTTTATTAAGACAGGTCCAGTCCTCCATACAAAAGATGCCATTTATCAGTGTTTTTTTAATCTAGAGGTGCTGAAGAAGCAGTCTGATTATTTGCTTGTGGAGTGGAGAAGTAAATTACACTGCAGACTCTATTCTGTCTTTTTTCTATTTTGACCAAACTATGGAGGATTTTAATAAAGTTTTCCTCCATAGTTCTAGTGCAGGTAAGCATATATCAAAGGTTTGTTCAAGACCATTTCCAGGTTAGCAAATAAAATTACATGATATAAAACAGTAAGATGCCTTGTTTCAGGCTTCTGTAGTTGGAGATTTAGGTGCTGTCTGCCTGTGGTTGCATGGGGAGTAGTGTGAGACTCTTCAGGGCTAATGTTGGTGCACTGGATGTCCTTTTGGGAGCCCTGTTTTCATTCCCTGTGAATCTGTCCCTCTCTCTGTGTTTTTCTGGACATGTCATCTGCAGCCTAGCCGCCCTACTCTTCCTCCTTCTCACTCCTCTCCGAACTCTGACCTCATGCCGACCTCATGTTGACCTCTGACCCACATATTTATCTCTTTTTTCTTTTTGCGACCAGTCGTGCATTTTCTTTATTTCTTGTATTCTTGAAAACCCCACCTTTTTAAGTGTCTGCTCTGTGACCCCCTCACACAGACTTTTACTCAGCACCCACTGGGAGGGGGGAGGTTACCCTCTCTGTCTCTCACCGTTTCTGTGTCCATCACCCTATTTTATATTCTTCTCTCTCTCTCTTTCTTTTGCTACCTTTCTTCTCTCTTTCCGACTGTCCTCTCCCTTCTTTCCCTTCCCTCCTGCCTGACTGCACGTGCATGGAGTCTGACTTCCATCGCTCATTTCACCCTGTGTTTGCATGGTGACACTGGGATGAGGAGTATCACTGGCATGTTGGACAACTCAAATATTGCATTTGCACCTAATGCTGCTTAACTGACAGACTGTTGTTATTGCATGGCATGAACACAGATAATGATCCTACAGTCTGTCTCTGTTCCTCCTCAGGGCTCAGGTCTCAGGGGTTAAAAAAGGCCACAAACCTTTTTTGTGAGCTGTTTCTGCTCTATTCATGTATGAATGTTGCGGTTGTTTCTATGTAAACGTTGTCCATCTGATGGGTTTTTTCAAATATATATTTTTAATGTCTTTGTGAGTGTTGTTCAAGAGTGCACCTATTGTTTAATGTGAAACTCATCAATCAGTCTGTGTGAGCATCTTTATTTTAAACTGTAAGTGTTTGTGTCTTTCATTTAAATGTGTGGCCAGTGTTTAAGTGTATGTGCAAAAAGACTAAATTTACTTTATGTGTATTTTATGTGAGCTTCACTGCTTTATTGTTCTGTATTTATGTCTTTCAATCAATGGGGTCAGACAATCACAGCTACATTTTTTCATATTTTACACTCCCATTTATTTCTTCCTCTCCAAAAGGTCTTTCTTTTATGACCATTGCCTCCTGTACTAACAAGTCTGAACTGATAAAACTGACTACAAGTCATCAAAATATAGAGAATAGATTTGTATAAGGATATCTTCATGAAATAAACAGTGAAAATTGAAAATGCACTTTGCAAAACATGACATTTAGCAGTAACTGTTTCTATAGACAAAATAGTTGAGAGGCTGAGAGACAGAACAGAAAGTAGGACTTCTTGGTCGCTTGGTGTCACAAATATCTCCTGCACTCTCAGCAGTGCTCAACAGCAGTGATGCCAAGCACGAGTCAAGTTACACCCTGCACAGCACTGCCAGGTTTTCTCCTCAGTGAAAAGTGTACACATACAGTCACTCTCTCTCACCACCTCTCTCTCTTTATCTCTCTCACTCTGTCTCTCTCTCTCTCTTGTGCACACATGCTCTTGCTGAAGGGGAGTCACCTCGACTTCCTCTTCTTGTCCTGCAACATATCTCCTGTTTCATTATCTGGTTAATATATTTTTATACTTGTAACACTACCATTCACACTACATTGCCAAAAGTCCTCAAAAATTTTACATAAACTATGTGAAGGTTAGTCATTTTCAGCATAATTAACATAAGTGAGAAAAATACAAAGCAGATTATTTATACGCTTAAAGAGTAAAAGCACACTCTTCATACACTTCAACTGGAATTAATGTAGAATATACAAAACAATCATTCATGCTGCTGTGACATTGAGCTCTATCACATCAGTTATGAACGTGTGTTCTAGAAACTGTTGTAGGAGTGACCTGAGTCCACAGCACATTAACAGTTTGCAGTTTTGATGAGTGACGTAGCTTCATTTGAAATAAATATTCAAAAACATGTTTGAAACAGCAACCATGAGGCTAATGTAGCCTATGTGTGGTAATTATATGTATATACACTCAGTGGGTGGTTTATGGGGTATGTATACCTCAGACTATTACAGTCTAATACAACCAGTCCTGCAATTAATCCTAAATGGTCATTTTGGAGGCGGCAGTTTGAGTTGTATTGTGATGCTTGGTCATGATTTCATCATTGTCCACACATTGTATCGATGATGGTAGACTGAATAAGAGAAGCACAGCTCAATATAATGAAATACAATTCTTCTATGTAATTATCATAGCTGCTGAATCAACAACCCTCTGAAGTATGGCAGGACTGTTTGTGTTCACTGGATAAACTCCTAACTAAGTGTAGCTGTGTTATTTGGTGCATTATGAAAATTAAATGTGTCAAGGAGAGAGTCAGCAGCTGTGTGGCGTGAGCTGATGTGTGTGAGGACAGAATGAGATTGCCTGCATGCATGCTATCCAGCCTGGCAACGATATCAACCTGCCTGTTTTTGAGTGGGTTTGAATGCATGCATACATGAAAGTGACGGTGTGTGTGATACAGAATGAGACTGAGCGAGAGAGTGTGTTTATGGCATGTGTACATGTGACAAAGTGTGTGTCACTGTTGGACAGGTGTGTGTCCCAGCCCCAGGCAGAGGCAGTAATTCCTGTCCGTCTCCCTGCAGGTGGCAGACAGCAGAGCAGCACCAGTCATTGCTGGGTTTGAACCTCGGTTTCTGTCTCGGTCCATCTGGCCGTGTCTGCTGCTGCTGCCGCTGCTGCCCTCACCGTCAGCGCTGGCTGATCGAGCTTGACACCCCCTCTTCCTCTTTTGTCCTAAGCTCCTTGCACCTTTATTTCAGCTCCTATTGTCTTGGCCCTCCCCCTCTCTCCCTCCCCTCTTCTCTCCCATTTGTCCCTTCAGCCTCCTCTACTCCTCCCCTAGATGCCCAGCTCCTGGGCAGGGGTACCTACCCCCTCCCGGGGTCCCGGTGCTGTGGGGTTGAAGTGGGGAGCGAGGTAGGGGGGCCGGGTGTCAGTATGCCTCTCTCTGTCTCGCTCCAGGTTATGGGCTCGCGCAGGATGAGCTTCTCTCGCCGGCCTCCATGCAGTACAGTCTGCCCTCCCCGCTGGGCGCTGAGCCTTACTGGCAGGAAGTCTCCAGTCTGGACTGTGCACCCATTGCCACCACAGAAGAAGACACGCTCATGGAGATGTCTGACGTGCAGGTGTGGCCCTCAGGCAACAGTCCCTCCCTGGTGCCCGTGGAGGACTCCTCGCTGGAGTGCAGCAATGCGGATGATTCAGAAGGTCTGCTGGGGCTGCCATATGGAAGTCTGGGTCGGCCGGCCAGTCAGGCCAGTGCAGCCAGTGGAGGGGGTGGGGTGCTGAGTGGTTCCATTGAGCTGCCCGAAGACGATTCAGAGATGGGCGTTGACTCACTCAGCACTGCCACGCCAGCCTCGCTTGGGGGCACCATCGCTGGGATCAATCTTAACGGTCTGAACAATGGTCAGGGGTCAGAGGCAAGCTCGGAGGTATCGGCAGTCACCAGCACAACTGGTGGAGGAGCTGGAGGAGGAGGTGGAGGAGGGACGGGCTCAGACGAAGGGATTTCTCTTGTTGCAGGACAACAAAGGGTGTATGCTCGGCTGAGTGAGTCACCTGGTCTGAGCTGTGTTGCAGATCGAAATGGAGACAGGTGAGTGAGACCCCTGTCTGCCCCTCAGGTGCTCCTGCAAAGTCACAATCTTATTATCCCTTCAACTATTTTGCAAATGTCATTGGTAAACTGGAGTTGTTCGGAAGCTGCCATGAAGAGAAAGTGAATCCCCAATCTTTTATGAGAGTTGTCTTACTTTCCGTGCAGTGAGAATGCAGTGCATGCACGATGTCCTCACTGATCCATTCTCTTGTTTCAGGTCAGGTAATGGTGGAAACGGAGGTGGTGGAGGCTCTTTCCTTTCCTACCTGCAGGAACAGACAGGCCCAGGGTGGATCCCTGTTACTGACCCCACTCAGGCCTGGGTGGGCAGTCAGCCTAAGCCCAGTCAGGCTATGGACACCATGATGTCATCAGTACGTAACGCTGTGGACGGAGACCAATCTCCTATGTCCCAGGAGGCCTTGCTTCAGCCTGTGAGGGACATGGGTCACTCAGAGATCTTACGGGGTCACTTCAGAGGTACCCAGCCGTTTGAGAAGGGGTTGGGCTTCCCACACAGGGTACCAGAGCTGAGGGCCTGGGACGACGTTCGCCTGAAGGGACAGGTAAGTGCGATGCTCCTTCCAAGTAAAGTAAGAGGAATGTTTGTTCTGCCTTTAGAAATAAACGGCTGCAAAGTACTGAATCAACAGACATTTTCAAGGTTGTTTTTGCAGATACAATACAAATCATGGATAGAAAGATCCTAGAACTGGACAGTTGACACACACACACACACACACACATTCACACACAAACACTTCAGCCCAAGATGGGCACAAACAACAAGCCAAATATAGCGCGTATTCTCACTGTCCCACCCATGTTACATGATCCCCACCGCACTCATTCCCACGTGTTGACTTACTGGGACAACACAGACACCTCACACTGTAAAATACAAACTTTGCCATGAAACCCTGTCAGACTAAAATAGAGTCTTGTGTTTCAGGCCTCCGTGGTCTTGATAATGTCCTTAAACCAGCTCACACAGCTAATAAAAAAGTCCACAATGGCTGTATTGTTTGCTGCATTGTTGTGTTTGCGTAGAGCTATGATTGATTTTAAAGAAATGTACCTGCAAGGCTGTGAGGATCATGGGGAAAGACAACTATATGCTTAAAGTAAGGGGGCAAGTTTGTCAGTGCTCCTACCCCAGCATACAGAGCCACACCGGAGCAACCAGAAGTATTTAAAGCCCAAAGGTCACATGGTCAAAAAGAGAGAGAGGTGGGAATAGAACCCTCCCAAGGTTGCTTTTGCCTCGATTTATCATTGAGTGGTTACTTCTGACTGGACAGTGGGAAGGAGAGGGAATAGAGACCAGGGGAAAGGGTCCACAGCCCCAGCAAGAGGAGAACAGATATGAACTAAAGGACACATCCAAAGTGACAAGAGGCCGAGCACTGCAGCTGTTACCCTCTTCCTGGGCTGAGAGAGGTGCTGCGTGGGTAATCAGCAGCCGTGGAAGGCTGAGGTGGTGTGAAGTCGAGCATTGTCGTGTGCAGGCCGTGATTGATTTGCTGGGAGTCAAAGTGGGGCGATGTGGGCCCTGGTGACTGAGCTCCTCTTCAGCTTCGTGCTGCTGGCTTTCCTGGTGATCAGCTGCCAGAATGTCCTTCACATAGCCAGTGGCTCAGTGCGTTCCGTGCTCACCTACATACACGCTCAGCTGGACCGGGAACTCGGTGAGGTCGAGGGGGTGGCCGACGAAGAGGAGAATGTAACCACCAGGGTGGTGCGCCGCAGGGTCATCCTCAAGGTACACAGAGGGGGGCAGAGGTCAAGCTGGAACACGGAGAAAGGGTTAACTGGCAGGAAAGAGAGGGGAGAAATATCTGTTGTGTGGAAGACTGAGGGATGCAGGTTGTTAAGGATTTAACTGTAGTGAAAGAGGGCATGATGAGCAAGATGGCTGTCAGGATTTAAAAAGGACACTGCTTGAATAAAGGCATGTAATTGTACTGGGAAATAACTTATAAGTCAAATTATTATCAATGATAATTTTGATCTATGAAAATACCAACAATTTGCTGAGAGAATGTGACTTAATTTATTCCTCTGCTGTTACAGATTTTGTATCTTAAACATCTTCAGTGTCAGAGAGTTTGATTTTTAACTTTGACTCTTGTTCACTTCACTTGCTGCAGGAATTTGTTAAGCTTAAAAATAGCTGTGCACACATGCTGCAAATTATCATGGTCTATAACTGTATTGTCATGAACTTAGCGAACTGTAATTACATCTAAAAAAACATCCATGAGCCTCATATGTTCCCAACTGTTGGAACTGACTTGATGCTTCCAAAAACAATGCTCTCACCCCTCACCCGTCTGTCGTTCATCTCCTCCTCTGGGCTTCTGTTTAGTGGATGCTTGGCTTTATGGTGTGCACACAATTACTCTGCTGTGACAATTATTTCAACGCACTGTAGGCCCATAATTTACAGGGTGCTAATTTTCTTTCTGCCACTAAGATCAGGACTTTGCTTCGGAGGAGAATGTGTATGCATGGTTTATTTAAAGCAGCAATATTAGTAAATGGTAAAAAAATCTTTCCACAGGGCGATGAGGTTGAAGATCTTCCAGGGGAGCAAGTAAGCGAGGAACAGTTCACAGATGAACATGGAAACATTGTCACAAAAAAGGTCAGTTAGTATGTTAGTTTGAACATGTCAGTATCACAATACTCTCACAGCATCTCACCACTCAATGATTATTACCTTAATAATCATTACTTTCAGTTAAGTCTTCATCAGTGGATTTATTCCCAAAATAAATTGATTTGAGTTTTTTTTGTTTTTTGTTGTGGATGACTTTTTGTCCATGAACTTTTCTTTGTATTTCACCAACACTGTCTTTTTCCCACTCTCCTTTCATCCATCTCTCTCTCCCACCCTCCTGTGTGCTGCTGTGTGTGTATGTGATAGATTGTGCGTAAGGTCGTGCGCAGAGGAAAGGGCTCGGGTGAGGAGGGGGTTCAGGAGGTGTGCATGGAGGGTTCTCTGCAGGACACCAATGAGCTGGAGGTCGATGCTGAGCAGTTCATGAGCTACGCCATCCTGGGCCGGGACGGCAGCAAGGTGGGATTCTGATCTGCCGTCTGTTGGCCACAATGGTCTGACAACAACCGAGGCTTCTGTTATGTAGTTAAAGAAATGCGCAGGGAGCGACGGACTGAGGCCCTGTTTGATTTAGTCATGTCTTTGAACAGGGGACTCTGTGCTGCAGTGAGCGTGATAGTTTCACTTCGTCATGGTTCCCCAACCCCCCATTAGTCCCTCTGTAGATTAACCTGCATGAGCTTCAGAATGAAGGACTGACAGACAGAGAAATGTTCATGTTGAAGAGCCTTATTTCATTATGTAAAGAAGATGAGACGTGTGTTTGGTTGTTTGGTCGCTGACCTTCTGTAACATTGAGTTCCACTTAAATATCCATGTCTTGCTTTGGTTGAGGTGCTCACACTATATCAACCCACACTCATCATCAGAGTGTCATCATTGTTGTCATCACTAAGCTGCAACAGTTTGTTTCCTTGCACATTCAGGACTGAACGAACTGACTGTTGTTTACTTGCAGTAACTTATATTTTCCACCCATCAGCTTTCTCACCTTTTCTGTCTTCTTTTTTTTTGCCTTCATTAAAGTTTTTAGTCCCTCAACTATGACTGTGTGCTGTGTCACTCAAACCTACTAGACCCTGGTCAAATATCATTTACAACAGTCAGTGGTTTTGTATTTAAGTGCAGGGAGGAGCAGGGGATTGGGCTTTAACAAATCAAAAATGTCTGTGAAAATATTTTTGACGCTACTTTGAATCCCAAATACTGAAGATGTTTCTGATGCCATCATATCTTCAACTGTCACCCATCTCCTCTGTCCTTGCCTCACTGTTTATACATAATTTCTTTCTTTTCTTCCCTCTTTCTTCTCCCTAAATGTATTTGTCTCTTGTTTTACTGTTTTTCTGTCCTCTCTTTCTCTTTAGCACTTTTTTCTCCCTCTGCTTTCCTCTGTCATCTGTCTCTTTCTGTCCCCTCTACTTTATCTAACTATCCTGTACTAACGTCCCTTCACCCTCTTCTTCTGTCATCCAACCTCTCCTCGAACCTCGTCCGCACCTTTTCTGTCATCACCCTCCTCTCCCCCTGATGTAGCCCGATACTGTGGATGTGAAGAAAGGTGCTCAGATAGTGAAATGCGCCAGTCTGCGGAGAGTTAAGCAGTGAGGCAGACTGAGCGCTGCGTCCCCTCAGGTATGGGACCGAGCAACGGTGCATCGTCTGACCTTTGGGCTAGACCATTTAATCCAGTCTCTCTGGTTTAAATGCATCTGAATGTACCTTTAATTCAATACTAATGATATGTAATGTGAGACTGGCACAGCAAAATGACAATTACATAGTTCTTTAAAGTAAT